CCTTCTATGTGAGTGAGTTCCAGTGGCCTCACACCCATGATGACCTCTGTTTTCTCCCGCTCTCTTTCAGGGTGCTCTATGGGAACAAGATCACCGAGATTGCCAAGGGACTGTTTGATGGGCTGGTATCCCTACAGCTGCTGTGAGTAGGAACCTTGTCATTATTGTATCTCTGGGGCTGTTTGCAGGTTCTGTCCTGAACACTTTGAGCGGTACTCTGGAGAGTTCTTCTCATGATTTGATGCACTCCAAATGGAAAAAAATTCTGAGCTGTCCACCTCTCACCTCCATCACCTCTTTTTTCGTGGGAGAAGCAGGAGTTGGCCAGGGGGAGGGCCAAGGTCAGTATGAACAAACTTAATGATATAGCTCAGGACACTGACTCAGGCATGACTCAGTAACCACAGGGCTAGAAATTTAGGAAGAGTTGAATGCTACAAGGGGAAGCATCTTGCAGGAATATGTTAGGAATTTAGGGAATTAGGATATTCTAACATCAAATTCTAATACAAAAGCTGAAACAAAGCTGTAGATGGACATGTGACCTTGAATATGGGTTCCTGGTGGGGAGGGGTGGTGGGGAAATAATTAGAGAAGAGCATAATCAGTCACCCAGGTGACTCTATCTGGGTAAGATACGGCTGAGGAGGGAAGGGTTTATTTGATTTAAAGGAAGATTTGTTGCCTTGAATTTTAAGCTCTGATATTTATCTGCATTTATTTCATTCTGGTCATTTGAGTTTAAATGTTTGAGGAAGATAATTGAACTCTGATGTGGAGAGACAAGAAAAGGAATTGAGCTCGTATTATTTATTTTAAGATTTTTTGATCAGGGAGGGTTATGTCTGGTTTGTATTAGGCAGCTTCTGTGGATGTGGGAGTGTATGTGTGTGTCTACACACGTTCTTGATTGTGCTCTGTGATGTCACGATTCCTATTGGTACCTGTGCCAAGTCGGTTCGATCTTGAGTATCCTTTGAGCAGAGGAGAATACCAAGTCTCAGAGAGGTAAACGACTCACGCTTG